GGGTGGGGGGCGGGGGCAGTGGGAAAGTAGACTGGCGAAGGAACTGGTGACTATTGATCCCGGCCACCCCCTCATGCTCCCGCTTTTCACCCGTGCACAGTGGGCGCGTCGCGGCCGAAATTTGGCGCCTTTTCCGAGTCGCAGAGGCGAGAGGACGAAAACCCGCATTAAGATGGCCAATTTGAAAAAAGACAGGTTCGTGTACAATTTCGAGGTGTCTACTGAGACCTCATTAAACTCTGTGGTATAAAATTGTGAGCGTTACGCGCAACGCGTAAATAACGCCGGAGGCGCGAAACGCTTCGAGGGGGTTGGACGGCGAAGCGGTCAAGGGGCGTACCCCCTGGTTGTTCAAGAGTCCTTGCTTTATTATTGCCTCTGTCTCACTTGTGCAATGCGTCCTACGGATATCGAACTCCGAGAGGGCTAGAATTTTTCCCCGGACACACATGGACGTGATGAGGAGTTTCTAATCTTAAACTTTTTGGTTTTCAAAACGGGGTGGGGAATGAATACTGGTTGATTGAGACAGGGTGTCTACTGAAACAGGCTGGCCAAAAATAGGTACTTTTACGGTACTTTTTCAATACATCCCCAAGAAATTCAGTACCTCCTTAACAGAAAAATTCAGTACTTCTTCAGTACCTCCATTTGACGAAATTCGAAAAATTTCAACAATTTGAATTTCCAGCTCAAATTGAGACATAAATGAGAAAAATTCCGAGCCTCTGGCGGAAATTTTGCACTTTTCCAGTACTTTCGGACCCTCCTTAGAAAATCAGTACTATTTCCGGAAATTCCGGACTTGTAGACACCCTGCCTTGTCAGGTGGCTTAACATAAGCTCCGCGATCGGTTTGCGACCGGCCGATCTAGCACTTCCTGCACCCCTGCATACCCCCTCCCCTTGAAGCGTTACGTAATTCATGAACGCTCTTGTCGGGAAACGAAGAGGATGCGCCTACTGTGTCAGGCGATGCTGCACTCCGGTCGGCTGCGGCGCGGGCGGGCGATTCAACACAACACACTCGAGGCATTCTACGGAGCATTGTACCGCGATCGGCATCAACGTTTATTTTCTGCGCTTCCCGCTCCCCCCCCCCCCCCCCCNCGAGCGGTGTTTGTCAGGGGGCGCCGCCCGACATCGGGGGGTGGTTCGGGTGGCTCCCGCAACAGTCTGGCCGCAACCCGCAGAACCGCGCCCGCGTCGGGACCTCATCTCCGAGCCCCGACTCGACTGTCTCATCAACTGCGTCCCGAATCCGATGATTCATAACTTCACCCCGTACGTTAGCTCCTCCCCCCCCCCCCCCCCCGGAGCACCGCACCAGAGACAAAATATTGCAAAGGGAACAATTCGCTGTCTTCTCTGCAAGCGTGCAGAAAAGAAAATGCCCGATCACGCGCCTTCCGG